TTTGTTTCTTTTTGTAACAGATATGAAAGTCTGATGGGAACTGTGGCTAAGAAATTCTCAACAAAAAGAAAACGTTCATCAGTAGGTTTTAATTTGAAGCAGAAAGTCCTGCTCCCCATCAGCCGTCAAAGAAAACACAGAGAGGCTTTATAAAACCAAGGGAATAAAAGATGTAGTTTGAGCAAGAATCGAGGCGAGTAGTTTTTTTGATATTAATGAACAGTGTATTAATGGTTAATTTATATTTTATATTTTATTTATATTTCCCACTTATTACATTTCAAATATTCTACAAGTAGTGTTCTTGTTTTTAGCAGTTTTTCAAACAAACTAATTCAAAAGGTGCAAAGAATTAGAGTTTGATTATAGGATGATTTCATTAATTAATTTAAAAGGGTAACCATTTGTCATGAACAGGGATTACTGATGTTTACTTAAAATTGTTATTATTGTTAGTCATAACATTTTAGTACATTAAAAATTTGTTTGAAGCTAAAATTGAATGGTGCATGGTCTGAATGGTGTACTCATGGGTGTTGGTGAAATAACACTCTTCTGTCAAAATAATTTTAATTGCTCGAGCGAACTTATATGCTAGAGGGAAAAATTATATAGTCGATTCGTAATGTTCAGAAACTCATTAAAACTCAGTGTTGGGAAATGCAAAAGAAGTTAGTGTTAACTGATGTAGTGTTATAAAATCTAATTAAAACACTGCCCTCTTATTTTCTGGGGAAAGGTAATAAGAATATTTGCAAGGACTATACAACAGCGTTCAAGGAACTCGAAGTTCTTGTTTTGTCTGACATTTTTAGTCACTCGATCGGCTGTATCTTGTGTTAAAAGCTTGATAAAACACTCTTGCTTGTTTTTTAAAAACATAACACAGTAAAAATCAGGGATGAAAAGAGTTTCGACCTCTCTTCGGTCATTTTCAACTAAATAAAAATTTAAAAGAATTAGCATTATATATGTGTAAGGTCTAAATTATTTTAAGAAGTATAAAAAATAAATAATAAATAATAAATCTCAGAGGGAACTGGGAAAAAGGCCCAATGACCACTCAAAAACCGGTATCCTTGAGATTCTTCGTTAATGCAAGATCAAGAGCCACTCTCCCAGTGTGGTCTTTTAAGACACCTGGCACACGCCCTGTCTCATACAGTAAACCGATGGCTCAAGACGAGAGAAGGGTGCAGGAAAACACTTTGTAAACTTTTTCAGACGCATGTTTCCAAAACTTTATTTATGAAAGGTTAAGTGCAGATGATTATATAAATGGGTGAAGAGTGTCACAGCATGAAAATGGAGATTTACGCAAAATTAAAGTTTGCGTAAACCTCCGTAAAGTTGGTCATCCAACTTTACGCAAACTTTCCACGGCGCGTAAAGGTTTGTAAAGGTAAATTTACGCGCTCGGCTCTTAAAGGTTTCGTAAAGCTAGCATAAAGTTGTTGTAACAGCTTTACGCTCATTTACGCTACAAGTAAAGGTTTAGTAAGGTTGTCATATAATGCTAGCTTCCTAACAGCAATTTATTCCCGGCACTGTTTTTAGTAAGTCGTTTGTGTCCTGATACTAGTTCGCATAGTTTTTTTTATCACTCATTTGGTGTTCGATGTTGGTGTGCGATGTAAACAAGCCAACCACGCAAATTTTTTTTGGCGGTGCGAACGACTTCGTACACGCTTAAAAATGACGCTGAAAAGAAAATTCTGCTGGCAGAGTTCATGCAAAGATATAGCTTGCGACTGTGCGGCAATTTTCGAAAAACGGCATATCTGTCGCGGCAAACACAATAGCCTTCAATACTCAGTAGTATTCCCTCATTGATTTCAGTCAGTATAAGGTGTTTCTTCCTTAACGGTCACCTCTCTACACGGGCCATTTTTGTTTTTTTTTTTTTTTTCGGCGGACGGTCCATACATGACATACATTTACTCTTCTTTCAACCTCTCTACTATGGCCACTTTCTTCAATGTCCCTAAGGTGGCCGTTGTAGAGAGTTTCAACTGTAATTTGATCAAATTGAAATAATTGGAAAATAAAGAAAAAATATCGCCTCGCAAAAACGGCGAGTTTTACTTAAAGAACGAACGCATTACTTAAAGAGAAAGAACGCACTAACAAATTACTCTGACCATTTTACATTCAACGGAGTACTGGCTTCATTGTTGAACCTCCTTAATCGTTTCCTTATTTTAAGTCCGCGGACTTCAGGTTTGGGAACGGACAATTTGTTAAAAGAAAGGGGCCTGGAAACAATAGAGTGAAGGGACACCTGGTCAGCGGGCTTGTTCCTTTGCACATGCTCAATCAGGTTCGTTGATTTGGCGTCCATTTTGAAAGTGTCCAACGGTTTCAAACTTGCTTCTTTGAAAGGTTGGAGATCGTTCATATATTATGCTTCTTGATAGCATCACAGGACATCTTAAGGTTGTTACAATTTATAATGGCACTATCAGCCTTTAGTAATCGATCACTTCTCAAGTGTGCAGCAACCCTTTCGGGACGAGATACTCAGTCAGAAACACTACTGACCTCTAGATCGTATTTTGATAGTAAAAGGATCGTATTTTAAGTCGTATTGGGACCTTATTTGCGTCGTAAAGTGATCGTATTTACATCGTAAATTAACTTAAATTAATCGTATTCATGTCGTAAAGTAAGTTTTCAAAAAGTCGTATTGTGTCGCTTTTACGATAAAGGTACGGTACAACTACGAGCAGAAGAAGAGAGTTGAACTCGTATTTTTATCGTGAAATGTCGTTTTCACGATCACATTCAGAGATTTTTACCATAAAAAAATCGTAAAGAAATCGTGATTTGTCATTTTACGACAAAGGCACGGTGCAACTACGGGCGGAAGAAGAGTTTTGAAGTGGTATTTCTATCGTCAAATGTCGTTTTTACGATCAAATTTAGAGATCTTTACCTTGCAAATAATCGTATTTTGTCACTTTCACGATAAGGTCACGGTGCAACTACGAACAGATGAAGAGATGGGAAGTGATATTGATATCATCAAATGTAGTTTTTGCGACTTTTTGCTCGGATCCGGATCCGGGAATTTTCTGCATATGAAATCTGGGAAATCTTTGCTTCTGGAATCCGGAATCCTGGCTTTGGAATCTGGAATACAGCTCAAGAAATCCAGAATCACGGCGTGGATCCAGAATCCAAGACTTTCTTGGATCCACAATAAAGATACAGCGAACTGTCTAAAGAAAGGCGCCTTTTGTCAGATGTGGAAATCTTTTTTATGTGGTCGATTCTACGATGCACACATTTTTTGACGTCCAGTCGACTGAAACAAAAAGCAGCCATTCTATCTTTACCTGGTGTTTCACCCAGACACATGTTTTCCTAGTCACCTTTGCAGCCGGCCGTTATGGTCAAGTGACGTAGCGCTCCTCTCCAAGGGTAAAACGGCTACGCAGAAGACAGTGTTTTGTTCTTTGGCTTTAGATTTAGAAATCCTTACCTTGTAACTTTTTCGATGGAGATACTATTCAATTACAATCTGAGAAGAAAGGCTTTTGCTGAGAAGGTTTAGATATCCTTGCGCCATTTGGTCGTTTTTACAGTGAACACACAGTTTAGTTACAAACAGAAGAAGCCATTTTAAGTTCCTCGTTTGTACAATGACTACAGAACGGCCACTCAAAGAATGTGAACATTCTTATTTTTTATTCAGTTTACAAGACATATCTCTGACAGGACTATCAAAAACGTTCATATAAAATATCGTAATTATAATTACAATATACTAACTGCAATTAATATCGTTTACCTGTAATATTTCAAGTAGATATTGTGGTTCTCAAAATTCAAAATTTCATTAAAATGAAGGATTATGCACAAGACGTTTACAAGGTAATGCTCCGATAAAAGTCGATCGCACACCCTTCAAATCGCAAAAACTTCGAAACTTCGGAATTCCCACCTTTTCAAGGTTATTACACCTTACGTTGGTCTCGGGTGTTGTCTTTGTTCGCACGCGTTAACTTCTGATTTTGAGTGTCACATAAATGCTAATCAAAACAACATTGTCAAAATGTGAATTATAGATGTTACTGTAGCATGGCAATGTGGCCATTATTCTTTTCATCCTAGTTTAGCAGTAGAGAAGAAACAGATCGTAGAATGTACGCGGACGCTTAGCTGGACTCCGGAGAAAGCGAACTACCCGAGAAGGGAACTGGAGGGAGACCGTCTTCTCTTAAGGGTCTTGAGTGCCTTGTGCGCTCGTCCACGCGACAATCCTAAAGGACTGCTGCCATTCTGAAAAAAAAAAAACATAATGAACGGTATAACAGTATGAAGCAAGGATCACTTATGTAGAAGCAAGAAAGATGGAAATCATATTGTAATGAACTTCAATGCCAGGTAGTTGCGCAACTAAAAAGAACTTACTAAGGGGCAGAAAGTATCAGGCCAAGGAATCTTTAACTGTCACACCATTTAAATGAAATATAACTCTCAATTTACCGGTGATTCATCGTGGCTTCCTAGTACATGCACACAGAGAGCCTATTCCTCTCCGGCCTAGCCTACCTAACAAGTGGGTGCGATCTTTTTTTTCTCTTTTTCCAATTTTTTCGACAAACTCGCGCGGAAAAGCTTACTATCCAGGCTATCTCGGGACAGTCTGGTAAGTTTTCCAACAGACTGTGGGGGCATGATTGAAAATTTTGGAACTCGTGGAGCTATAAGTTTGATTCCTTCAAAGGCATTATACCAAAACCAGCACTACGTGATTCCAAGAATTTTTGGATTAAACGTTATACACATTTGTACAAATTCGGGGCCGATTTTCATGCCCGATTTCTTGTTTTTTATTATTATTATTATTTGTAGATTGATATATCAGTTTGTAGGCTTATCTTTATTTGTAGGCCGTTTATGGTTTGCTCATAGGGTAACGTACTCCTACCTGATTCGCTCCTATGAGGATGTAAAGGGCTACTTTAGATGAAGATTAGCCACAGAGAATCAAGCACATGAATGAATTTGCACCGGACGACGGCATAATCGGATCCTGGTGTCTTTTAATGTCGTCATAGTCAACTGAAATTAAATAATTTGCATCATAAGGTTACTGTTTATATTATATCACATAAGCTCTTTGAAATCCCTTTGCTTAGCTAGTCTACTTTGTATCGCAAAGTTGAAGCGTCTGTCTGAACCTAAAATGCAAATCAATACTAATCAATATCTTTTTCTACCTTGCGTACTCTCTAAGGGTGGATTTCCATTGTCTAGCCCGTGTGCGGACCTCCCCCCCCCCTCCCCTCATGAAAAATTCGGAGAAGGGTCCCTTCTCCGAATTTTGGGCTAGGGACTTTTAATACGGTGAATGAATCAGATCATATTTGAGACTAAATGAGTCAAACATAAAATCTGTAATATCTGTAATCCAGACTGAACCGAGCGAAGCGAACTGCTCGAGCAGTTTCTGCGAATCTTCGCACCTCTCTTGTTTACAGTTACTCTGGTAACATCATGCAATTTTCGCCCTTTTCGCCGCTAGTCGCCACAGGTGAAGTTTCCACACACTCGTTGACTAAAGCGTCAAGATTATAGCATTGATTTCAATCAAACTAATTTAATTAGAACGTAGACGGTTAAATGTAACACGAATATTATGGGTTTTTTAACACTCACTCTGTAACCGACCGCTTTCATAAATCATGTTTGTCTGTAGTAAACTTTTTATTATACAGTATACGCGTCCTAGTATACGCCATTTTGTATTACTTCTCTCTGAAAAATAGAAAACAGATTAAACGCACAAAAGGCCATACATATTCAAAAGCCATGGAAACGTATAACACTGTTTCACTTCTTTTTAAATGCCAAAGCTTAAACTACAGCTCAAGAACACGTGTAATAAATAAAATGTTGCCACTGTTAAATTCAGTTAGGGTAACATTTTTAATTCGAGGTTTTCCATTACACCTGTTAAAACGAAGTAGACTTACTTATTTGGAAAAGAAATTTAAAGATTATTAAATAACTCACCAAAACATTAGCCTTTTATAGCAGTCCTTTTGCCTTTCGTTCTCCTTGCTTTCTCGTTTAAAATGTTGAGTAAACGGCGCGCGAAAATGTGGCGGTAAGCGCAACAAGAGTTGACACGTGACAATATGTTAGGCATCTCATTGGTTTGTGGTTTTCTCGTCTGCCAAGCAGAGTAGTTCTTCTTTGTTGATCACCTCGATGTAATGTGTTTCTAAAAGGGGTTTCTTGCTTGAACCAAAATTTTTTGTAGTAATGGTAGCTAGCTATTTAGCTGATTTACTGTAGGAACACGAGTAGCCATAGCGGTCTCGATCGCCCATCGGTATGGGGGCAAGGGACCTTGGCGGAACGGGGGATGTAAAGATTTAATAAAATCCAGCCCTACTCACCTAAGATCACCTGATGATCCGCTCGGAACTTTACATAAGATTTTCGGGTACGTCGTTACTCAAGTGGTCGTTACCACTCGGGTTGACCAAACGTTCACAATTGTGCCGAATAACTTGGCGGTTTTAATACTTTTCCAAACTCAGCAAATGAAATGTGTGCTTTCTGGTTCCGGTGTGCTGCTTTTACTTCGAAGGAACTACATTTTCCACTCACTTTCAACAGCATTGTATTATTAAAAAATATAAGCTTTTGAACAGTATTTAAGTTGAGATGTTCGGTGACGACGCTTTCCTGCATCGCATTGCGTGACACTTCGTAGTTGAACAGGTAAGGGCGCTCACTCTCGAAAATGTGTTGTGTTCGCAGACGTTCTGAAGCTTTACTTGCTGGGTTTATTCCTATAATTATTACATCTCTGCCAGAAATGCTACAGGTTTACAACAACACGTACTAGGATTGTACAATAAAAATGTAAGAAACTAGCTAGTACAATACACTTTTCGAGTCGTAAATAAGATGAAAGTGCGATGTATTTACCTTATGGCAATCATCTTGGAATATAATCGTACTGTGTGTAAGACAATATTACGATAATATCAATAATCGAATTTGACTCGTATATTGAACGAGGGAAAATTGCGATTTATTTACAGACCGACGTTGGCCGTAATCTGCCTGTTATTAGATCGCATTGTGTTTACGACGATATAACGATAATATTAATTCTCGAATTTAACTCGTATATTGAACAAGAGCAAATACGATCCTTTTACGCTCGGACGCTGGTCGTAATTTGACGGCAATGTGATCGCATTTTGTATACGACAATATTACGATAATATTAATTCTCGAATTTAAATCGTAAATCAAACAAGGGCAAGTTACGATTCTTTTACGCAAGGACGTTCGTCGTAATTTGCCTGTAATTAGATCGTACTTCAAAGTACGATTTTATTACGATTGTCTGCAAGTAAATTACGGTCAAAAAACGATGAAAACGCGATCTAGAGGTCAGTAGTGAAATGGAGACAGAAACATCCAGAAACATCGTGTGAAGCGCAAGCATTAACACTGGAATGTTCACAACACAGACCAAGACTGTATTACACGTATTACTAAGGCTCTTCGATACTCAAGATCTCGCTGAAAAGAGCAGATAGTAAGGTAAGGTAAGTTGTCCTGGCTCGCCTTTTCTCTAACTTTTTAAGCTTAATTCCAACGTGTTTATGACGAGTTCGAATGACTGCCTCAAGTACTCAGTAACTAACATTTCAGTGAGCAATGAAACCAGCATTAACCGTTTAAAGTAAATTATAACTATACATGTGTATTTATTTGGCATAACCTTTCAATACTAAGCAAGCAACGAGACCATGACGTTGAAGATGATAATGTAAAATCATGTAACGACTTTGGGGGTCTGAAGGAGTAGAATTTCCTTGTTTTGTACTGGAAAATAGGAGTTTGGTCACTGGTACTGGGAATTACTAAAAGAAAATAATGGAATTAAGAAAGGACATCTGTATAAAGTAAGCTTACATGTAATGTGATACAAACATTCTTATGAAAATTTTCACAGACTATAGAAGAACTAATAAACAGAATAGAAAAGTGTTAACAAGTGTTGAATTTGCAAGTAAGCAAAGATAATCTACGTAGTCTAGTTCTATATTTTCATGTGTCAGTCAATAACAAACCCAAGCTTCCCAATTCCCCTGGCAGTCATAGCGTCATAAGTGGTGAATAATTTTACAGCATGCATGTATTTTTTGAAGCAGGTACAAAAGTTTATTTTTGATTTTAAATTACGTGGGTTTTAACTTAAATGAACAGAGAATGAATAGACGTTTTCTTGAGTCTTTCAATGCATAGCTAATGCAGACCATGATTGAATTAGAATGTATTTTCATGTAAGTGCCAACATAGTTGTTAACATCTTCACAGTTTCATACCTTCATCTGCAGTTCAAAGTATGATTCATTTCATATATTACCATTAATTTTAATCTTCATTGTGCACTGCTCCTATGAAATTATATTGTGGTTCTTGAGAGGATACAGTGCAGCACATACTGTCAGGAAATTGAATGCCTTACTTTTTGGGAAGCAAAGCACACAGTCATGTTAGAAACCAGAAATTGTTCTATTTGCACCATAGTTGTATCGTCAGTAAATCTAGGTTTAAAGGAAAACAAAATTTAAAGAAACAAGTTGTGAAAGATAAGACTCTTAAGAGCGTCATAGCAGTCATAGCTGTTTTGGATTCTCTTGTCTACATACACCATTATTAATCTGCAAATACAACTGTCTCTCTTGTGAAATGTCCCTGGTGGCAAGGAAAGAAAATAGGCTGCTTTATTTACAGGGTACACTGTACATTATTATTAGGTGGCATTGTTTTCAAGATTGAGGATAAGGGCTTTAAATAGCAAAGTGGCTTCACTCCTGTCACATTAACTAGGAACCTTGAACGTTTCATATTAAAAAGGAAAAAAAATATATTAGGTAAAGTTTCAGGAAAATTTGAAACTTTTGGGAATAAGGTGCTTATATGTTTCTATATTTTCCCTGAAAGTCTTTGGTGGAGCTCATGAGAAGGCTAGGAATGTTTATTGATTTGGAACTTAAGTCCGGGACAGGTAGAAATTTAGTTCGAACATGTAAACCTTTGATATGACTTGTCTGTGGGACAAGCACATTTTTAATTAGAAAAATAAAGATAAGAAACAGTTGCCTTAAATATTCCATTTAACTTTGCCATTCCACTGCCAGTCGTTTCATTCATTTGCTTTTTTACAAGTTCTGTTGTAGGTTTAATTCAAAAATAATATACAAGGGTAATAATGTGATTAAATAATGTGATTAAAAACATTAAATGCCTGTTGCAAGCTAAACTTTTTGGACAAGAACTCTAGGTTTCGGACAACCAAATTTAATGTATTGCTCGTGTGAAGGACAAGTGGATAGGAAAATTTCTCTCTTACCAGGGTGCAAAGAAGGTGATTTTTAAAGCTTGCCATTGGGGCAAGCTGAAGCTAGCATATGCTAGCCCAAATGTCATTTCAACTAGCCCCCAAACCGTTTTGATGAGCAGAATTGATTTCACAGTTCTTCTTTAATTTGAATTCCTCAAAAAAACTTCACTTGCCCATCGGGCAAGTTAAGTTCAAAATTCACTGGCTCGATAGCAAAATCCACTAGCCCCGGGCTATCGGACACTACTTTCTTTGCGCACTGCTTACTCTCTAATAATAATAATAATGTACATCCAGTGGTTTTTCATAGCACTTTACAACGATATTAATGGATGATACTTTTATAAAAATGCATACATTAAAATAAAAAAAGATATACATTGTAAAACATTGAACTCTAATAATATAATAAACCATTGTTAATAAATTTAACATACATATGCTTCAGTCTCCCCGACTAGTAAGGCACTGTGCCTGAGTTATAAGACATGAGACTTTAATAAAGTTCATTACTATTATTATTATTATTGTTATTATTATTATTATTATTATTATTATTATTATTATTATTATTATTATTATTATTATTATTATAGGGTTTCCATGTAGCATTTTACCCTGATTTTCACTCAACTGCAAGTAGGGTTCTAAATGTAAATATTATTGCCTTTAAGGAAAGCCTTTAACTCATACTAGTCAAACATTTTGAATCTTTAACAGTCAGATGAATCTTGTGCACTTGTGTGAATTTGTGGACATTGAAATCATTTGCTACTCAGGTTTTGCACTGTTATTAGACCACTTGTGGAAAATGCCTTATCATTTTTTTCAAATTTTTAGTCTTGGTTTGTGAAAAGAGGCGTGTGGGGAACCCTGTGTCAAGTAAAATTGTGCTGATTGTAGTAATTTGGCCATGAGTGTAGGAAAAAATATTATTAATTAGTAATAGCAGGGGGTGTCCTCTGGCAACTTAGGGGGTGTTTGCATGACACCGGGGCAACTTTTGCCGCAGAGCGAGTTCACTCCGGTTCCCTCTCATAGCTCTATATTTGTTTACATGATACCACCACAAAATGTCATGCAGGCGCGAGTCACCCCAGTGTGAGTTCACCCCGGTTCTTGTACCGGGGCGAGAATTTCACTCTGGTACAAAATCTCATGGCAGTATCATGTAAATGCGAAACGACCACCCGTTTCGGCATGAAATCGGTCTGCCGGTAGACTGGAATGGGTAGCGTACGCGTAATGTTTGCGATTTTGAATCACACTTGTATTTTATCAACATGAAGTGTACCTTCAAATAACGAGATATGAAATGACTCATTCATAATGTAAACCCGATACAAAATCAAAAAGTCATCCTGGTATGAGACTCGCACCGGTGTGAGTTTTCTCATGTAAACACCCCCTTACTCTACATGTACTTGTGCCTTTAGTGCGCGATTAAGTGTATTATCACTAGCCTACAAATAATCTGTGTAGTTTACTCAAATAATACTTGCTTTCTATTTATTCAGCAGATCAGCCTGGTATGGGATGTTGGTGACAGAAAGTCCTCTCAAAGCAAACAGGATTAATAAATGTTAATTACAAGCCTTAGTCTTGTAAAGTGGTTCCAGGGCTGTCACTAAGGGCCATAAACCAGACTTTAAATCGGCTACTTTGAGCCCAATACTTGGCTGTTTTGAGAGGAAACGAAACTTTCCACATTTTCAATGTCCCGCTCACTAATTTCACTTACCCTGCAACTTGCAATCTTAGTGACAGCCTTGTGCATCTAACTTTTACATCATCAGTTTATGAAAATGATTTGTTATTTGGATTTTGTTGTTAAATTTGACTGTAAACACTTCTGGGAGTGAAAGGGCTAAATCAAGAAACCATCAATGTTATACATGTATTAGGCTTTCAGTCTTTTTATTTCTTATCTAAAATTGTTTAAGCTTTTAATTTGAATTATGCTAAATTATACTAAATATTTTCATTTTGGAAGAGACCATTTTGACCCACCTTTACATTAATTTGTGTGTTAGAGTTGCTGTTTTTTATCAAAATTTAACTTCATCAGTTTTCTTGTACACCCTGTACCTTACATGTAAATGCTAATAATTATTTTAAACTATAAATCATCTTAATTTGGTATAATACTAAGTTAAGATGATTTTTTTGGATATTTTGAGAAGACTGTTTTGACCCATTTGAAAAGTTTATGTACACTGTATCTTCTTATTTAAACCTTACGTGTTGGAAAAATTTTCGTTTTTTTTAATTTTTAATGTAATGACAAAGATGCTAACACAGAAATAAATCATGTTATATTTAGAAAATTCAGTTTTAGAGTATCAGTGTGTTTTGTTTTTTAAAACCTTGTAATATCACTCTTTTCGGGACTAAACTTAAAGAATGCGATTCGTATTTGTAGCTTTTGCAGTTACAACAATGTGGCATACCTGGCGATTTTCTTGGGATTTGAAATGTAAAAATAAAGATAGGCAATTTGAAAATTGGTTATGGTAATGCAAAATTGGAAACGGAAAGGGGCCCTATTTTTTGAACTACTACTTATTCAAAGTTCATCTACTGGTTAAACAATATAACTCCATTAAAGCAAGTTATAACTTAATAGTAGGGATGACTAATGTCAGTTTGAAGTTGGGTTCTTATTTTTCTACAGGTCTATTGGGTTTTCAACGCTTTATAACTTTTCGTTTTTGTTGTCAGTTTTGAAGAATAAAAACAAAATTTCTGGCCTAATCCTTTAACTGTGTGTTGAAGTGTTGTTACATATCAGGGTATTTTATTTTATGTCGAAACTTGAATTGAGGATTACTCATACAATTATTTGTAATGTATATATGAGTAATCCTCCATGGCTCCAGATTGTAAATACTATGGAGAGATGATGGGGAACCAAAGAAAACAACCGGTATTAAGTACACAACAAAAATCCAATGTTTGTGTGGAAAATTCAGATATTTGACATGGACAAAAATAAAATCTTGATTGTTAAAAGTTTGGTAAGAAAAATTTACCGATTACCATTATATTTACCGGTATTTTTAAAGTTTCCACTGTGTTTATGTGTATATATATGGCGTAAAGGAGCTTGTATTTGCGCTTTACACAAGCTTAAAGTAGGGTTTACACAAGCTTTACGCAAAACGTAAAGGTGTTGCGTAAAGTTTTTGTTTCATTACGCCAGCTTTATATGTACGCGTAAAGGTGCTGTAAAGCTGAACTTTACGTAGAGTAAAGGAAGCGTAAAGTTGTGTAAAATTCAACTATACGCTGACTTTACGTTGTCATTACGCTCACGTAAATTTGATTTTTCATGCTGTGTGTGTCTAACGTACAATGACCATTTGATCGAAATTGTATTAACAGTTACTCCTTGTTTACGCGAAGAAAAAAAAAACGACAAAATATAATTTCTAAGCAGTTTTCATTTAGGTTTGTAAAGTAATATGGGTTTTGTGTTCCTAAATCTAGATTTTGACTAAATCCTTTACCTCCGTTCTAATGAAGACGGAAGGTATACCCCCAACGTTACAACAATTTTATACTAGCCTATAATGATTAAGCTGATCCATAAAAGTAATAGCTTTCAATCTTTCAATATATCAAGTACGTACATGTACACGTTTGAATGAATTACAAAGAATCACCGTGGCATTTAACGTCTACAAAACATACTCTAGCTGCGTAGAGGCAATACTTACGTTAAGTGAAAAATTTGGGTGGGTGAAAGGACGCTGACCGTTCAGAAAGCGTTAGAAGTTTAATTATTCCTTAATTGCGTGGTAACTTTTCGACAGCTTCTTGTAGAGCTAATAATGCTGCATCTTCCCCCTTTTTCAAATAATAACGAAGAAAAGCTAATGTAGTAGCAAATGAAATTCCTCCGGCTATGCCGGTGCCTATAAATGGGATGAATCGAGCATACTCCTCAGCGACGCTACTCACAACGTAACTGGCCAGCAACGCTGTGAGTTTGGCTGTGGTTTCTTTGGTGGCAGAGTGCAGTTTTGTAAATTCCTCAGACCATTCCTTTGGAAGACCAAGAGTGGTTCTGTACATGTTGATTTCATCGATAATCAGGTTGGCATCATAGACTGCGGAAACTGCAGGAAGGGGAATCGCTCCGACAACAGCAGATTTAAAAGCAGACTTCCATGTACGTCGTTTTAGGGTTTTAACTTTTCTCCTGATTATTTCAGGTGAAAAGCTCTTCAGAGCCAAGGTCAGACTCTCTTGCTTATATTTGGGCATCGCATCTAAAATGGCTTCAGTGAGTTTAGGGAAATCCCACTCTTTAGGATAATGGTTGCTTATCAGGAATATGTCTTGCTTGCTGCTCAGCAGGTCACCCAGCACTTCTGAACAGCGGCTTCTTGTTTCCTCAAGCATGACATTTTCATCAAATACTTTCTTCCTCATTTTACCGGATTGGACGCTCACGTCAATTTTTGTGCGAATGAAGAAGAAATGTTTGTTAAGTGACCTTTTTATTTCCTGTGCCAAGTGGAGATCGTTGCTAGAGAATCTGGTACATGTTACGATGAGGAACGCATCGTACGTTTCCAATTGTACTTTCTTGCAGTATGTTTTCAGGTCTGGGTTTTGGATGTCCCCCATTCCTGGTAAATCCCAAAATATTATTTGGGAGTTTTTAGGATGTGGGTATGCTGTTGGCACTGTAGTAGTACTTTTTTCTTCTCCAACTTCGGCAGCACCTTGTTCATCATCGAATTCATATCTGGAAAAAAGTTTAATGAATTTGGACATTCAAAATGTAAGGCTCTGGTTATATGGAGAAAAGTACGTTGTCCTTGGTAGAAGAGTGACCCGCCTACCCGAGCTACCCTGGGCGAGCCAACGTTTCATGTATTTCCTGGCAAAACGTTTACATGAGAAAAAATAGTCGCCTGATAGGACATGTGCTTACTGGCTATGAGTAGTCTGTACTCCAGTGACCATAAAAAAAAAGAAGAAGAAAAGAATGCTATTAAATTCGTCGAAGAAAATATGGGTGATGCTCGGTATGGAACCTGGTACCTCTATACTGGATCATTATGTTCAACGTTAACGTTTTGGGCTTCGAGGACATGGAGAAAATATGAATTAATTAAAAGTTTTTCCACTCAGTGTACCTTTCAAAATACTTTTGTTGTCTATTGCCTATATTTACATCTTTCTAAAATAAAGTAAATTCGCTGAGAGATTAGGAAGAAAATTTTCAATGCTCTTGTCAAACCTATACCTCTTTTTTGTGGTTGTGAAATATGGAGACCCGGCCTATTATCATGTGAGACACATGGCAAGTGGAAAAGAGCAATTTAATGTTAAATTTTGCAAACTTACTTTTAATGTTCCACTCACTTAACAACCCATCAGCCGCCCACCCACCAGCAATGTAACTCGTCTTTTGAGTGCTTTACATGGAGCCAACAATTCAAATTTATTAAGGGGAACCGTCTGGAATATCAGCCTCAGTGTTTCAAGTGCACAGACGTTATATGCAAATTTGAGACAAAGTGTGCGTCAATAACTTTCGAGAATTCTGCCAATCCCTGGAGTGATTATTATCAGGATATGCAAAGACAATTAAATGTGTTTTTATTTCTTTTGCTAAACGAAATAACTTCGAACTTAACTAGACGGTCTGGTTACGGCTTTATCAGAACGGCCAGGTAGAAAATATATTAACGTTATATTCCCTACACGGAACAACATTTTATGTTAACGTCTCTATTTGAAAGCCGTAATCAGGAGTCCATTGTTCTGACTTTTTTTTTGCGGACCAGAAAAACGAAACTCTTTGATAGGAGCGCTGATTCAAAGTGGAATTCTTACTAGTCGCGAATTGTTGGTAAATTCTGTAACGAATGGAAAGCATGTACAAAAAACGTAAAAAAGATAATACGGCACTCATCCAGCATTTCCAAGAAAAGCTGCTGGGAAGGCTTCTGTTTTCCAGGAAAGCAGGAAAACGGCCATTGCCACTGAAGCTGAAAACAATTTCAACCCGATAAGAGACCAATGTAGGTTTTAAAAGATGCCTCTTTCGCGTGCATGACACCATTCACAAAATAGACCTTGTCACGGTTTTCGACGGCATCTTGACGAGTAGGCAAACGCGTGAGAAATTACAGTGATTGTATGAGAATCTAATGTCGAATAATTTCCTTAGAACGGCCGTTCTGAAAAAATATGATTTGTAAACTAAAGCTTCACTCCTAAGGATTCTCTTGAAAAAATTTCAGGGCGTTACATGCACTAGAAGACCTAGAACCACTTTTTAAAATTTTCTATACATTTGTCTGTAAGCAAGTCCCGGGAAAATTACAAACAAATATATGGAAAATCTAAACAAACCTCTGGAGAAATTTAAGCACACGTACGCCCCAAATTTTTTTAGGACAATCCTTTGCTTTGCAAAAGTTTACAATCGATATTTTGTTCAGAACAGCCGTTTTATGGAAATTATTCGACATTAGATTCTCATACAAACACTGTAATTTCTCACGCGTTTGCCTACTCGTCAAGATGGCGTCGAAAACCGTGACAAGGTCTATGCTGCCATGTCTGAGCGTACTCCACTCTTTCCTGTTAGCCGCGAGGGCAACTCCTACCAATTCCTCCTTAGGGGAATACCTCAAATGTTGAAATGACACATATTAACCAAATTTAATCAAACTCCTTCAATCGCGCCGAAATAACGATCCTTTCAACCTCGTTCCCAGGGTTCTCTCCTACCCGCCCCAGGGGGCGGGTAGGAGAGAACCCTGGGAACGAGGTAGCGATCCTTTTGTTTGAACGGAAGCCTTTTTCGGTATGGTTTTTCGTGTCGGCGTAAGAGCTAAGTGTCTTTACAGGAAATTGTTCGTTTGGATTAGCTCGGTCTTGATAATTCCGTCTTCCGATCATTGATAGATCCGTACGCGTTTCTTTCTACTGATCCTGAAACTTTAGTAGATCCGCTCTCTTCCAGTTTAAGACGAGATTTGACCTGTGATGCTCAATAAAAAAATATCGTTTGATCCATTCTTAAACTCTTAGCGCGAACAGGTTGCTGAAAGACCCAGTAATATATTAAGGATGAACGTGGGCTAATACAAAGGGATAATTTTTCTGGTTCTTTATGCCAGGGCCCCCGTTTAGGGGTTTAACCCAGCGGAAATCAAAGCCGGCTTAAGTCTATGCTTACCCCACCTCAAGGAAGTGCTAGTTGATACCTTTCACTTTCGATATGAGCTTGTGAAAAAACCCGGAAGTGACTAATGACCACTTTAAGAGAAGAAATGGACTGATAATTCACGAATAATGTTCAGGAATGACATCGCGAGACGCTGTACTTATGAAAGAGCTGGCTTGGTGTATATAATAACATTTGCGATTCCTTATTACGCGATCCGCCTTAATGGCACAAAATCAACTTGTCAGGCCTTGTGAATAAGGTACCCATCAAAGAAAGTTAATTAAACTTTTAATTATACCCACCCTCGAACTGTGTTAATGAAGCTGGATTTTCCACTTCCGGAGTTGCCAACAACTGCAATATTTATGTCCACTTGTTTCCATTTTTCCAAAGCGTCTTCTAGGAACTTGTCAATGCCTTCAACGCCATGCTGTTTAACGTAATCGTTAAATTCGGAGAAGGCAGTGTCAATATCGTTGTCGAGGTTTTCGATACCTGCTTTACTCATTTTTTAAAACTACAAGTTTAAAAGGCGTTTTCCACATCGACACATGCAAAGGGCAGCCGGTTTGGTCTATGTAAGCCGTAGTACACTGAGCTCGTAATGTAGAAATATGATTGTCGTCCTTTCGATTTCCCATGACGCAGGAGGAAGTTGTAACGTAACCACAACGCTGGTATTGGCGAATGAAAATCCGAGGTGTCTGGTCATCGTGACGTCAAGTACTAGCCGGATTTAAGGGAAGGTAAACAAATGGCTTCCCGTAAAAAGTTGACGGTCCAAGTAGAGTAACAGTAGAACAAAATGTTGAATTTTTGCCTGTTTAATTGAATTCTAGGTTTCCAGTCTTACAGTTGTCTGAAATACAAAAACTAAACACGAGTCACAACGTGCAATCGAGGTGACGACGTGT